TTTTATATAAAATACACACACACAAAGAGGGAAGGAAGGGATAATAAAAATACAATGCTAGACAGTAAAATTGACCAAATAAAATACACTACATATGTATTGTTTTAATATGTGTATTTAACTGATGTTGTTTGTTTGTTAATCGTTGTTGTTCCCAGCCTCAATCCGTGGGGAGAGGCTGGCAAGAAATTATTATTATTATTATTATTATTATTATTATTATTATTATTATTATTATTATTTGACCCATTGAATCCTATATGGCTCATCTCTAGGCTCTCTGAAAGATCACCATCTTCCTATCTGAGCCTGCCTGAGATTTAAAATAATCCGAAAAGGGGTTTTTCTCATCCTTCTCGGTGTCTGTTCCTAGGCTGTGGAACTCCCTGCCACCGGAGGTCTGCTCACCTTCTTCTTTTCATGACATCTTTTTATTTAGACAAGACTTTGGCTGGGAAATGGTTGCTAAGGTCTAGTAGTCTATTAATGGGAGGCACTGTACTTTTATTCTCTCTATTCAACTGTTTTAAATTAGGGTTCGTTTTTTAAAAAATCAAATAGCTTATTTCATTGTTTTCCCAACTCTTCTTGTTATAATAACCCTTGCAGTTAGCTAAATAATGTCTTCAGGTTTGTTGTGACTTGAGGCTCCGATACCAGGAGAAATTGGGAGTCACAAATTACAGAAACGCTCCATTGCCTATTTGGAGTTTTCTTTTTAATGATCCTTCCTGCTTTGCCCTTGTTTGTAATTGACAGGGAGCTTAAGTACACGTCAAAATTTTATACAATATGATTTTTTTCCCTGGACATCGGTCCCTTGGTATCCGCTGGGGTTTGGTTCCAGGACCCCTCGTGGATACAAAAATCCATGGATGTTCAAGTCTCATTATATACAATGGAGTATCATCATCATCATCATCATCATCATCATCATCACCACCACCACTATCCCACTTGGCATTCATTGGTGGTTTGGTTCCAGGATCCCCTCTATGGACACCAAAATCCATGGATGCCTAAGTCTCATTATATACAATGGGGAATAATAATAATAATAATAATAATAATAATAATAATAATAATAATAATAATAATAATAATAATTTTTTATTTATAGCCCGCCCCTCTGCGCGGCAATCGGGGCGGGTTACAGCATTTAAAACAATCAAATTAAAACATTCCCTCATCCCACAACCCAACCCTCCCATCCCCTTAAAACAAAATTAAACCAAGAAAGAGTTAAAAACAACAATACAATAAAACAATAAAACAATCATCATCATCATCACCACCACTATCATTATCATCATTACTATCTGCTTCACATCCACTGTGGTTTGGTTCCAGGATGCTCTGTGGATACCAAAATCCATGGATGCCCATTATATAAAAAATGGGGAATTATTAGTAGTAGATTTAGTCATTATTATTATTATTATTATTATTATTATTACAGTGGGCCCTGGGTATCCGCCGGTTCCAGACTTCCGTGCTCATCCTATTATATACAATGGGGAATTATTATTATTATTAGCACTGTCATCATCATTACTTTTATTATCACCATCATGGATGCCTAAGTCTCATTATATACAATGGGAAATTATTATCATCATCATCATCATCATCATCATCATCATTACTATCCACTTGGCATCCACTGTGGTTTGGTTCCAGGATGCGCTGTGAATACCAAAATCCATGGATGCCCATTATATAAAAATGGGGAAATATTAGTAGTAGATTTAGTCGTCATCATCATCATCATCATCATCATCATCATTATTACAGTGGGCCTTTGGTATCCACTGGGTTTTGGTTCCAGGATCCCCCATGGATACCAAAATCCATAGATGCTCAAATCCCTTAAATACAATGGCATAGTAAAATATGATCCTTTATATAAAATAGCAAAATCACACACACACACACACACACACACACACACACACACAAATATATATTTCAAGCCATTGATGGTTGAATCCATAGATAAAAAAAAAATACATGGATATAGAGGGACAATTGTATTTGTTTCAGCTTTTGTAGGCGGCCTTCATACCCTCCAACATTTCAACTGGAACACTTGCGGCCAAACAAGAAAAGAGAGCGGTCAATATGGCAAGAGGTATTCATGAGGAAGAACACAGAAGTTAGGAGATGCTGCAGCAGTTTGCTTTTGCCTGAGCCAACTGAGAAAAGCAACATTCTGCTGTTGCTTCCTCCTCCTCCTCCTTCTCCTGCTCCTCTCCTCTCCCACTTGCTTAATTAATAGATTGCAAACGGCTTTTGCACTCTGAAGTCAGTTTGCAGCAACTGAAGTAAGCTGAGGACAAAGGGGGAAAGTGGGAGGAGGAGGAAAGAGAAACCGGGACATTTTATAAGCAGCTGGAAAACTGGGAAGGCAGAGGATTAATCAGGACTCTTTCTGCAAAATAGGGATAGCTAGAGGGTATGCATCTGAAAAAAGGATACTATAGAGCTAGGGTGAGCATAGTTTAGACAGTGGGCCACATGCAACCCTTGGACCCCACTTTTACACAGTTGTGGGAATGGGGTGGAATGCAATAAATAGGATCCAGAAAGATGCAAACCATTCCCACGACTTTGTAAATATGTTTTATATCTGAACATTTACTAATCACTCTGTCCTGCATCTAAAGAAGTGGGTTCACAGCCACAAAAGTTCATGCAAAAATAAAAACCAGTTAGTAACCCTATCATGCGGGTTTGCTTGGCAAGAGTTGTTCAGAGGAGGTTTGTCACTGCCATCCCCTGAGGCTGAGAGAGTGTGACTTGTCCAAGGCCGCCTGGTGGGTTTCCATGGCTGTGTGGGGATTCGAACCTTTGTCTCCCAGAGTTGCAATCCAACACTCAGACCACTTTGGCTCTCAAAATATAGGCATTGCACCTGAAAAATATGCTTTACACCTAAGCATTTATTATCGATTAGAATTATTGTCTGAGCATTTATTATCAATTAGAGATAATGCTGGCTCTAGCATTAGAAATCCAGTGTATAATAGTGGGTTTTGTGTTGAACTATGACTCTGGAGACCAGGGATCAATTCCCAACTTAGCCATGCAAACCCACTGAGTGACCTTGGGCAAGTCACACTCTCTCAGCCTCAAAGGATGGTAATGGCAAACCCCTCTGAAGAAATCTTCCCAAGAAAACCCCATGATAGGTTTGCCTTAGGGTTGCCATAAATCGGAAAAACCTGAAGGCTCACGACACACATGCATTTATGATCAAAATGTGCTTCACACCTGAGCATTTATTATCACACTGGCCTGCCTCCAAAGAAGCAGGACTTCATCTACGAAACCTCATGCAAAATTAAAAACAAGTTAAGTCGTATAAATGTTGCTCCTTCCTTTCTTTCTTTTTATTCTGCAAGAGACTAACAGGGCTACGTCTTTCGGCACAGCCTTTGGGGAGACATTTGTTCCCTGTATGATATATCGAAGATGCCACTCTCTATATCTGGGGATGGAAAAGCCTCCTAAAATCTGTCTCTATGTCAGGCACACATGGCATAGTGGTGTGAGTGCTGGACTATAATCCTGGAGTCCTGGGTTCAATTCTGGAGTCCTGGGTTCAATTCTGGGCAAGTCACGCTCTCTCAGCCTCAGGGGAAGGCAATGACGACAACCCCTCTGAACAAATCATGCCAAGAAAAACTTGTAATAAGGTCACCAGTGTGGCGTAATGGTTTGAGCACTGGACTATGACTCTGGAGACCAGGGTTCAGTTCCCAGATTGGCCATGGAAACCCACTGGGAAACCTTGGGCAAGTCACACTCTCTCAGCCTCAGGGGAAGGCAACAACAACAACAACCCCCCATGAACAAATCATGCCAAGAAAACCTTGCAATAGAGTAACCAGTGTGCCATAATGGTTTGAGCACTGGAGAATGACTCTGGAGGCCAGGATTCAATTCCCAACTCAGCCATGGAAACCCACTGGGCGATCCTAGCCAAGTCACATTCTCTCAGCCTCAGGGGAAGGCAATGACAAACCTTCTCTGAACAAATCTGGCCAAGAAAACCCCAACCTTTGGGTTGCCATAAGTAAAAAGGGAAAAAAATGACTTGGAGGCACACAACAACCAACACTGGGCATGCAAGTCTTGGGTTGCGGGGAGCAAAGGCCAAAAACTTGCAAACCGTCTCACTGGATGCCACCACGAGCGATGCATTGAAAGGCACACGGAGACACAAAGAATGCAAGGAAGGAGAATAAAGGAGAAGAGCCAGAAAGTGCAGACACATCTATCTCTCTCTCTATATATATACCCAGCCAGCCACCTCCCAGTCCTCCCAGTTTACTTGCAGCCTCCATGTGCCCAGAGTCAGGATGCCAAAGCCAGCAGAAACCAAGTCCTTTGTTGTCTCTCCGTGACAAAGAGTTAAACCAACTCCAGAAAGAAAGAAAGAGAGAACAACGGCACAACGGAGGAGAAATCCGTCAGCAAGGCCAGCCCATCCCTGAGCCTGTGATACGCTGTACCAAGGACGGAGGGAGGGCAACCTCGGCCAGGATTGTGGAAGCCACTGGATCACTGGAGGAATCAGATCCAAAGGATGGTCTTCCCTGGGAGCGGATTGGTACCAAGGGGTTGTTCGGACGGCGAAAATAATCTGGGTTGAACCTTCGTTGCTCACATGCAATTCGAAATCATCCGATTAAATCTGGGGAAAGCTGCCAAAAAACCCCACTTAACCCAGGATAACCGATATTTTTGAGTTTTCCCAAAAGATTCGCATTCTCGCCTATGTGAATAACTAGTGCGAAGACTCAGAAGAAACCAGGATAAAGCCTTGCATGCCTTGAACGTGCCTCGAATACCTTCAACACTATCTTTATTTAATAGTGTGAGAGGCTATTTAGATAGTAAAAATAATCCATGATGAATCCGGGTTGAATCTCTGTTGTCCACACGCAACTCAAATGCACCCAATGCGGGTTTTTGTGGAGGGAGGCTAAAAAAAAAAAAAACAAAAAACCCTACCTTAACCCAGGATAATCAATATTGGGTTTTATCTCAAAGATTTTTAAAAAGATTCACATTCTCAGCAGTGTGAATAACCAATGTGGATAGACCCAGGATAATTCGGGATTAAACTCTACCAACCTTGGATGCATTTTGAATACATTTGCATCGTCGACTCCATCTTTATTCAAGTGCTGGTACATGTGAGCAACTAATAAACTCACAGAGATGCTCATAGAAGTGGTTCCGTAGTGTGAACAACAAACCCAGAATATGTGAGTGAATGAAATTATTTGCATCGTCGCGCTAACAAAAATGATGTGCGACTGACCCCTCAATCAGCCAAAGGCAGATGTTTGCAAAATATCAGCAGAGGTGTAGCTGCCATGCATGCATTGGATGTCTTCAAGTCATTTCCAACTTATGGAGACCCTAAGGCGAACCTATCATGGGGTTGTCTTGGAAAGATTTGTTCAGAGGAGGTTTGCCATGGCCTTCCCCTGAGGTTGAGAGAGTGTGACTCGCCCAAAATCACCCAGTGGGTTTCATGGCGGAGTTGGGAATGGAACCCTGGTTTCCAGAGTTGTAGTCCAACATTCAAACCACTGCACATCCCTTACCCAAAATGCTTGGTACCAGAAATGTTTTGGAGCTGGGATCCCCCCCCCCCCCCAAGATTTTGGAATACAACTAGCTCAGGCTGGAGAGGGACTTGAGGATCCGTGAAATGGCTTGACCCTGGTGCCATTTCACAGACCTCCACGTCTCTCTCCAGCCTCACAAACACACCATACACTACACCGCTTATATTCCAAAATGCAAAATATTCCAAACTTGAGGCCTTGAAGGATCATGTTGGTGCCCACAAAAGTTTCAGATTTTGAAGCTTTTTGGATATGTGATGCTCAACCTGTCGTCCTTTCTTGGGCAGGTGTGCAATGCAGGCCTTCGAGATCTGCTGTTTTGACCCAGCATAGTCGGACTATGACTTAGTTTGACTTAGAACAAGAGGCTACTGTTAGAACAGATTTCGGGGAAACAGAGTGGCTCCCAATTGGCAAAAGGGTCGGGCAAGGATGCATTCTCTCACCATCCTTGTTCAACTTGTAGACAGAAAACATCGTAAGAAGAGCAGGCTTAGACTCCAAAGAAGGAGATACTAATAGGAGGAAGGACCACCAAGAGTCTGAAGACATGCAGATGACAACATATTACCAGCAGAAAACATCACGGACTTGGAAAAGTTACTGAAGAAAGTCAGAGATGAAGGTGCAAAGGCAGGCTTCATGCTAAGATAAAGAAAACAAAAATAATGACCATGGAAGAAATATATAAATTCAACCCAGACAATGGCAAAATTGAAATAAAGAGTTTCCCATACCTGGATCAAACATTGTTCAGAATGGTGACTTCATTCAAGAAATCAGAAGAAGACTAGGAATGGGAAGAGCAGCCAAGAAAGGACTAGAGAAGATCCTAAAGTGTAAAGATACACAGCTGAACACTAAAGTTAGGATTGTCCAAGCCCTTCTATTCCCCATCAGTGAAGAAGACAGATAAGAGGAAAATCAACGCATTTGAGATGTGATATACAACTAAGCACTAAAGTCAGAATCGACCAAGTCATTGTATTCTATGGATGGATGTGAGAGCCGGATAGTGAAGAAAGTGGATATAAAGAAGATCAACTCATTTGAGACATGGTCCTGGAGAAGAGTGCTAAGGATACCTTGGACAGCCAAGAAGGCAAACAAATGGATCCATGAAAAGATCAAGCCTGAATGCTCCCTGGAAGCCAAGAGGACTGAATTGAGATTGTCCTACTTTGGGCACATCATCAGAAGGCATGAATCACTGGTAAAGACAATAACGCTAGGAAAGGTGAAGGGAAGGAGAAAGGAAGAAAGGAAGACCCAAAGCCAGATGAATGGACTGTATTAAGGAGATCATGGGCCTGAATTTACAAGAGCAGAGCAGTTAAGGATGGGGAGGATTTGGAGATGTCTCATCCACAGGGTAGCCATGAGTCAGGGCCAACTTGAAGACATCTAACAACAACTGCACTACTTGTACTCCAAAATGCAAATTATTCCCAAATTGATGCCTCGATGCATCATGAAATGCATAGATATGAGATGAGGGACACCTGGCTGAACGAGACTCCGTGTGAAAGGGATCTAGGAGTCCTAATAGACCACAAGCTGAACATGAATCAACAGTGTGATGCAGCACCTAAAAAGGCCAATGCGATTTTAGGCTGCATCAATAGAAGTATAGTGTCTAGATCAAGAGAAGTAATAGTGCCACTGTATTCTGCTTTGGTCAGGCTTCACCTGGAATAATCCTGTGTCCAGTTCTGGGCTCCACAATTCAAAAAGGATGTGGAGAAACTGGAGCGTATCCAAAGGAGGGCGACCAAAATGGTGAAGGGTCTGGAAACCATGAAGCCCTCTGAGGAATGACTTAGGGAGCTGGAGATGTTTAGCCTGGAGAAGAGAAGGTTGAGAGGTGATATGATAGCCCTCTTTAATATATTTGAAGGGATGTTATGTTGCGGAGGGAGAAAGCTTGTTTTCTGCTGCTCCAGAGAACAGGACTCAGAACAATGGATGCAAGCTACAGGAAAAGAGATTCCACCTAAAACATTAGGAGGCACCTCCTGATGGTAAGAACTGTTCAACAGTGGAAGACACTCCATTGGAGATTTTGGTGGAGTCCCCTTCTTTGGAGGTCTTTAAACAGAGGCCGGATAGCCATCTGTCGGGGATGCTCTGATCGAGAGTTCCTGCATGGCAGAATGGGATTGAACTGGATGGCCCTTGGGGTCTCTTCCAACTCTAGGATTCTATGTTGCCTCTCAAAAAAGTTTCAGATTTTGGAGCATTTTGGACTTTTGGATACGGGATACTCAACCCGTCGTCCTTTCTTGGGCAGGTCTGTGCAATGCCTTGCCCTCAAAACCTCCTGTTTTGACCCAGCATAGTCATGTTGGGCTACCAAGATAACACGCGATCCTTTCCCTAGCGTGGCTACAGCCATGGATTCGAAGACTACCCTATGCAGAAAACTGGAGGCTGTGGGCAACTGTCCACCATGCCATGTTTTTGGCTACACTGGAATTGCAAAGGCGGGCATGAAAAAGGTGGCATTGCCCAGGGAACGTTCCCAGGAAAGAGGAGCAAGCACAAAGTTTGTGTTTCCGAGGAGCCCAGTCCCTTTGGCATACGATGCTGTAGATAAAAGGCCTTTTCTCCACTGGGCTTTGCAGCAACATTCTGCTGAATCAGAAGGAATGCTGGGCAGAGAAAACAAGTGCCAAGTTGGCATTGCGGGATCTTTCGGGGGAGGTTTATTTTATTTGGGCACAGGAGACAATGTCAGCATGAAACAGGAGCAAGAGGCCAAAAAGTCAGTTGGGAAGTCAAGGATCCATAGGACATGGCCAGCAAGCCAACGTTTGCTTTCCTCTTCTCTACGACAAAAATGGAAAGACCATGTTTCTCCTTTGGGGAAATCAATGTGGCATTTGAGGAAAACAGGACATGCAGCGAGTAACAATGATGCCCTCCTTCTCCATCATCCTATTCAATGTCTATTTGTGCTCTGCAGAAGGAGGACAGAAAACATGCTGGATTTCAAAGCTTTCCATTTTAAATTCAGCATGTTTTCTGTCCTCCTATTGCAAAGCACAGACAAGACACTGAAAAGGATGGGGGCAGAAAGAAAAAATAAATTTTAAGTCAAGGGCTGCAGAAAGTGATTTGAACCACT